TCCAGTATGAATTGGGAGCAAACTGTGACACCAAATCTAGTCGTTGTATTGTTATGCTTCTAAAATATTTTTTTTTTAAATAAAATAAATTAAATAGAAATATTATGTGTATTTTTGTATGTGGAAACATGGCTTGCCCACTAAAAATATAAAGAAGTGTGGTCTGCAGTTCTTTAATTAATTTTTTTTTGTAAACAATAAAACACTCAGTGCAAGGCTAGTTCACCAACATGTCTATTCTCTTGCTTGAGTGTTAAAGTACATGGTTTAGTGACTACCTCTTATATTTTTAAATTTTAGAATGTTTTTTTATTTGGGAAGGTTCTTCTATAAAAATAGAACAGATATGGTAGTGAGGTATTAAAACAAGCAGTCTCTCGACTGAGATAGCTCCGCTGTTAGCAATGTCTATTTTAATTAAAGAACTTAAGAGATCATTAGAAAATAAACAAATCTGAGAGAGGTCTACCTGAGGTATCTATATGTATATTATCAAACAGCAATCGGACTTGCAGTTTTTAACAAGAAGTCGAAAATATCACTTTTCACCAAAACAAAAATATTCATCAAAATTAGAGAATTGAAGATATCATCACGAAATCTGAAAGAGGTCCACATGTAGTACCTATATGTATAATATCAAAGCAATCGTACATGGTGTTTTCAACAAGTCAAAAATATAACTTTTTACCAAAAATGACAAAAATATTCATCAACATTAGAGAATTAAAGATATCACGAAATGAGCAAATCTACGAGAGGTCTTCCCAAGATACATATACACCAAGTATCAAAGCAATAAGAATTGTAGTTTTCAAGAAGAAGTCGAAATAGCAAAAAGTTGACACGAACGATGGACAATCACTCATATGATAAGCTCCGCTCAAACAAAGTCAACAGCAGAGCTAAAAAAAAAATGTCATAAACAACATTAAATTTAACTAAAAATGCATTTTATTATTGCTTTTTTGGTATAATTTATAACACCAAGATATGTGATTTTCAATACTTTATACATTTACAAGTCTGGAAGATTGCAAAGTGGAATGCGTACAAACACGATTAATTAGGTGCTGGGAAAAGAATGACAATCTGCATATCATTAAATAAGTTACAGTAGGTCACAGTCACAGGTCATCAAAAAGAGAATGTGAGCATCTGGGTGATGCAGCATTTTTTCACTCAGTGATTCTCTAAATAGGAACTTTCTTTTTCATGGAAGTATATTGGTGTAAACTAATACATTAACACTGATAATGGAGTGCTATAGAGATATAATTATGCCAAATGTACCTGTACGTTAAATTGGTTGCCAGCAGTTTGGTCACAGATGATCAGTTGGCAGCAGTGGATTGGCCGACATCAGGGTAAATCTGTAGATGTCAACGTCAATCATCAGCAAGCACAGCCTGATAATACCAGTCAATGGCAAACATGCCACTATCATACCGGTAGAGAGCAAACATGGTATGATCATACAGGTCAATAAAGAACATGGCATGATCATACCAGTCAATAGCAAACATGGCATGATCATACCAGTCAATAGTAAACATGGCATGATCATACCAGTCAATAGCAAACATGGCATGATCATACCAGTCAATAGCAAACATGGCATGATCATACCAGTCAATAGCAAACATGGCATGATCATACCAGTCAATAGCAAACATGGCATGATCATACCAGTCAATAGCAAACATGGCATGATCATACCAGTCAATAGCAAACATGGCATGATCATACCAGTCAATAGCAAACATGGCATGATCATATTGGCAGTATTGCATGATTATACAGGTAAATAGTAAACAGCCAAGGTTATACTGGTGCATCATAGTGTAACGAAGATCAAAACAAAATCTAGTCAAAGTATGGGCAAATTCATCATGGTCAAAGTTATAAACAATTTGATAGATTTTTTATCACTGAATTACAACATCACAAAAATTATATATGCAAGACCTACCCATATCAAACTTGGCCAAGACATTATCACACTTTAGAGAATATTAAAGTTTGAATGCTCTTTGTAAAGACAAGAAAAAAAATAAGCTTCCAACGGGGAGGAATTATTTGCAGGCATCCCTTTGTTTGGAGAAAAGAAATACTCACCTTTTCATACATGTATGTACAAATCAGTAATAATAATTCATGGCCTCTAGGAAGCCATATTTCATGCAACAGCTTAATCTTCATTTGAAACCCTCTTTTTCCCCAAAACTTTTTGCATTGTGACAAAAAAAATTATACATTTTTGAATAAAAAAACTGTTTTAAATATTATAAATAATAATTAAACATTTGTTATTCTGTTTCAGAAAAATCTACAAAATATTTATTTTAAAAAATAGTTTTGAAATCAAATTCAATACAAATGTTTGAAAAAATCCCCTTTGTTGAAAAAAAAATATTGTATTTACAGAAAAAATACTCAAGAATAAGGATGCATTTACGATATTTACAAGTATTTTTTATAAGACAATAAAAATAGAGATATTGGATTAAAATTACAAAGTGCTGATACACAAACACTATTTCACACAAAAGAGACAAAATATAGTAGTAATTACAAAATTGGAGACACCATTATCAAGTTTTACATGCAGTCTACCAGTTATATATCAAGGTACATTTCAAGAGTTCATGATGAATATTAATTTATTTTGTCATTTTAATAATCAATTGGTTTTCCCACTTATCATTTCAGGTTGTAGTAGAAAACTATTTTTAACTCTTGTCACCATGACTACCACTTCCTTTCTTAGCTCCGCCATGAGATACCTGAAAATTGAGAGGAGCACATTGCTTAATGTTTATGGCAAATCAAAGTTCAGCTATAATCTGCACATCAAATCTTAGCATATCCAACAGGTGAGCATCCTGCAATACACAAATGCACCAATGATGGAGAGGTCATTCATGGCTGTTACCGAAGATTACATGCGGTACTGTAAAATACCTTATTTTGGCTAATAAGTGAAAGTGATTCAGTGAAAATAGAAACCAGAGAATATACCTTTTTTCTTATATTTCACGTTTAGTGTTTTGTAAAAGGCTGCATCTGCACTCATTTTTAATGTTCACATTTTTCTTTAAATGGGGTAAACTTCCTTGAACTGAAAAATCCCTTCTTCGAGTATAAGCTTTTGCACAAAACGCAACACATTTATTGTTGGCATTTTTAACTGTTATCTCTCATTTACAACAAGCAGAGAAAAAGTGTAGAATAATATGAGGTTATTACGAGGATACCGTATGCACGAAGACAATACAGCAGGAGTATCGACCGAAGCGCAGCTGAGGTTAATGTGGCGGCATACTGCCTGAGTGCATACTTTACGGTATCCTCGTAATAACCTTATAATTATACATCTTTTTCTCCCAATAATACATAATGGGAATGTTGAAAATCAGAACAGAATCAGCGAACTCCTTTGTGTTGAGTTCGGTCATGGCAGTCATGTTTGTTTTTGTTATGAGAAGACGCTTACATGTGTAATCATTCCATATTTGGAATTTGCATTTCCTAGTATAGTAGCATGAAAATACCTTGTAAAATACCGCAAAATTATAGCACGCTGTAACTTATAGTGTTACGGTGACAGATGTATAATAATAAAGGTTATCATTAGAATACCAGAAAAAGTATGGACTCAGGCAGTAAGGAATCGCATAGACCCTGATTGATACGATCACTGTACAGCCTTTGTGCAAAATTTGCGGTCTTCTCATGATAACTCAATATTAATTATCTCATGAATAAACAGCGGCTCTGATTCACACTTATAATCATCGTATTGAAAACCCACCTTACTGGAATCCCCATGTGTTGTACTGTGATCGCCGTTCATATGTAATGTGGGCATATTGTTACGTTGCGGCGGCGAACTCTGCAACTGTGACCCTGAAGCTGCACCTCCACCACCATGTTGTATGATTGCACCATGCGGCATACTTCCACCATGCGTTTGCTGATGCATTAATTGAAACACAAGCTGTTGGTGCTGCTCCTACAAGTAATGAACGCATAATAACATGACTCCCACAGACAGACAGACTAGCAACATTGATCTTTGAATATTTAATTGAAGCTCAACAAACTGTTGATCAATTATGCTATTTAGCAATGATGGTTTACTTTTACATAATTTTTGCTTATCTGTGCAAAGTTTAATTGTCCAGCTTAAGTAGTCAGCAAAAGTTCTTATGACAGTGAAAAATAACTATCAAGTCTTGCAATATTGCAAAATTTTAAATCTTTAAAAATTAGGTTAAAATTTGAAATTTAATTTGTTAATACAATGTGGAGTGTAGAGTGGGTGGTAAGTGAATATATAGTGGGCAATCATATCTGGTCAGACCAAACGTTTTTGATAGGCGGTGAAGATATATAGTAATTATAAAGAGATACTGTCAGTATATGACCAGAAATGTTCTACAGTGTTTTACATAGATGAAATACCTTAAAACATGCTTTTTTTAGCTAGAATGTTATTTTAGCGAATTTAGCTAATCTGAAATTTTGCTAATTCAAGATGTCACTAATTTAATATAAAGTATATTCTCACAATGAGATTATTGGCACTTTAGCTAAATTAAGATTCAATTAATTCAAATTCTCTAAAATTGCATGTAGGTATTTAAACATGTTTTAATTTAGATTCACCACTTCACCCTTTATCATCAGTTCCACATGGCAGGACTTTCGCAAAACTTTCCCCATTCACCCATGGCTGGGTTTCCACAAATGGTTTCTCGTGGCTAGGCATCTGCAAACCCTTTGCTAGTTGCTCATGGCTAGGTTTTTGCAAACCCCTCACAAGTTGACTAAAGCAAGTCATTAATGGCAGGGCTTCCACAAACCCTTTGTAAGTCACCTATGGCTGGGCTTTCACAAACCCATGACTGGGCTTTCACGAACATTTTGCCAGTCACC